GAGGCAAAATGGATGGGACAGTATCAAGTAAAAAAAAAATCAGTTCTCACCATTTCAACTGGACACAGTTTCTTTTGTGTGGGGGAGGTGGGAGTGGTCAAGGCTAAAGTTTTCTTTTTTTTTTGGTCTCTGTTGCTCTATACAATCACCTATGATGGATTCACTTTAAAGACAAAAGACTAACTTCTCTTAGATGTGATAAAACTGGTATTACACAATTGTCTTTTCTTTAATGTTAGTTTTACTTAATTCTAAATTAAAGACCACATAGTAGTTAACACAGAAGCATGACTTTGAAGCCTCACAAGATATACCCTGTAGCTATGTTTCATTTCCGGAGCTGGCCAGGCCTGTATTGCCACCTGCATCTGTGTTTATGACTTCCTACCGTTACCTTCTAGAACAGAAGCATTAGAGGTACAAATCTTTTCTGCTACCAGTGGTGCCTTCAGAAAAGTCTCACACAAGAAGCATCAAGCTAACATTATAATATGTACTGACAACTCTCTTTCACAGGAAACTCTTTATTCATAATTTTTTCTGCTGCCTTAAGTTTTATGACCAATCCAATCCCTTTTCTGTGTGTCGCTATGATTGCCAAAGTGGAATTCTGCTTATCCAAGGTACTATATAAGGAATGAGTATTTGCAAAGTTTTAAATAAAAATGTACATAAATTCAACTTACTATGCCTAAAGTCCCAACAAGAGAGAGTACATTTTATAAAAATTTAAATAAATTGTTCCACTTTGGGTGAAAATGTCCTTAATCCAGATATTCTTACCTGCTTTGCCTCGCTGTTCACATACTTCCTGAGAAGACTCAATAACTCACATGAATTGGGAGAAAGGAGTAAACCATGCCCAAAATCTTGGGTATTTAAAAATAGTTGCTGCTTTTTTTTGAGACAGAGTCTCACTCTGTTGCCTGGGCTAGAGTGCTGTGGCATCAGCCTAGCTCACAGCAACCTCAAACTCCTGGGCTCAGGCGACCCTTCTGCCTCAGCCCCCTGAGTAGCTTGGGACTACAGGCATGCGTCACCATGCCTGGCTAATTTTTTCTATATATCTTTAGTTGGCCAATTAATTTCTTTCTATTTTTGGTAGAGACGGTGTCTTGCTCTTGCTCAAGCTGGTTTCGAACTCCCGACCTTGAGCGATCCACCCGCCTCGGCCTCCAGAGTGCTAGGATTACAGGCATGAGCCACCATGCCCGGTCTATAGTTGCTGCTTTATGGTAAGTTTATATTACAGTGCAAGATAAGTATTAATGAGATTTTTTTCTATATTTTTTCATAATGATGAATAGGAGTACAACTTTTGCTCAATAAAAATCTTATGTCCCAATCTGAAACTTGTGTGGTAAGCCTCTGTGATTATTTCAAATTCTATTTTATTATTTATGGGAAGAATCATATTTTAAATTAGTAGAGTAAAAAGGAAGGATTTTAAAAAAATGGCATTACAGTTTTCTACTACTCTGTTTTTAGATGGCATCTTGCTCTTGGTCAGGCTAGTTTCGAACTCCTGAGCTCAAGTGATCCTCCTGCCTCGGCCTTCCAGAGTGCTAGGGTTACAGGCATGAGGCACCTCTCCTGGCCCTCTACTACTCTCTTAATGATACAGAAAGCAGAGAAGATTCTGCTATTTTTGCAATCTAATGAAATTCTCTGGAGAATTTTCCCTTAGTTTCAATTCACTGCTACAAATACCATCACCAGTGAAATGAAAAAACAGAAAAGACCCCCCCCTCAAAAAAAAAACAAAATCAAAAAAAAAAAAAAAACCTCTTACGAACTGGCTCTAATATATTCCTCTGTTATATTTAATCAGGGTTTTTTTTTTTTACTCAGGTGGCAGACATTCAACTTTGTCCATAAATGTATCAATTTAGTCTCCTCATCTTTTAATCTCTAAAGAATTAACTGAACTATGTAAATACATCACAGATTCACTCAGTATAACTTACCTTAAAAGGCAAATATCTCTAAACAGGATCAATGATTTATAAAATAAAAAACACCATGATACAACAGCTGTAAAAATACAACACCCCTAGTTAAATTGCACTTATTAAGTCTCTAGGCATAGAAGAGGGCAAACTTAAATGATTGGTTCCTTGGCAATGAAACTCTGACAAGCTACATTTCTGTGAACTAGCTAATTGCTTAATATGACAGGATATTTTGAGAGTATTGTACTTTATATATTTTATTTTGTGTGACCCTCATTTTATATACAAGAAAGTATCAGAGCGATTAAGCAATTTACTCTAGGTCACATAGTGAGTATGGCTGAAGGGATTTGAATTCACTTTTGACACACCACAAAGAGGCACATTATGAACAAGACTAGTAAATAGGATGAAGATCCTGTGCAATGAAGCTTTCTGAATTGAGTCAGAAGACACCACCACTATGTGATCTTTGGGCTACCATCTATGTCTTAGTTTCCTTACTACAAAATGAAGTAAGGCTACTCTGATATGCACCAATGTTTAAAAAGTTTGTATAATGAACTAAAAGTTATAGATTCACCAACAGAAACTATTATAAGATTTTCTAAGAATCTAAACTTCTCTCATTTTTCAGAATTATTTTTAAATTATTTTATTTCAGAGTTATTTGGACACCATTGAATCTCCATGGGTTGCCAACTCGATCTCACTCCCACTCCAACTCTTCTCTTGTCTACCTACCTTGAGGCACCCCTTAGAATAACACTCTCAAAAGAAACATTTTCAACTCCAAAAAGTATTGCTAAGTAAAATATATTTTACTGAAGGCTCTTCATCAAAATCCTCTTTAATTACCTCTGCTCTTCCCCCAAAGTTCCTCTCCCCAAGGTCGTGGTCACATTTCTTTCTCTTTCTTATTTCTACCACTTTTTCTGGCCACCTCCTCATACTTTCTCAAAATCCTATTTGCTTGTACCCAGTGAAACAAAAGCCCTGTAACACCTACTGTTCCTGAAACACAACAAGAAAGGGAAAAGAAAAACAAGGTCCCAGTTCATAACAGGAATCTTAATATACTATTGTACTTTCAAAGAAGAATAAACCCTTGATTGGAAATTCTCAGTTCAACTAATGAAGCTATCCAGCACCCTTCCTATCCAGTTTTCTCCCCTGCCTTGCTCCAAAGCCACTGCCATATGGAATCAACATAATGGATGAAAGTATGGTATATGTAATGAAAGTAATTCCATATTTGTTTCAAATTGTATTTAGTGTTATTACTATATTCGCTTAATGAGGCTACTTGGAATTCCATTATGAAATCATGAGTTTAAAAAGCACACACCTCAATAACCACCTTCTAAACCATGTGATTTTTATTTAGTCTCATTTAATTATGAAAAGACAGTATTATTATAGCCCACTTAGTTTTGTAAAGTGTTCAAAGTTCTTTATATATAGCATCTCAATCTTTCGTCAACAGTAGGGCACATGTCAGCAGAGAAAAACTGAGGCGGCAGCAAGGGCAGGGAAGCCCCCTGTGCAGTAGAGCAAACATCTGACAACAGTCATTAATCCAAATACTGACACAGACAATGGAATTTAGAACCTGCATTACCATGAGGTTGTCACCGATGACCACTTGTCCAAATCAGTAGTTTAGTATGACAACACCATTTTTGAACTTCAGGTGCAATTGGTGATTTTTCAATAAATTTATCTTGAAGAAAGAATGCTATTCCATAAAGAATAACAAACCACTAAGACAGCAAAGGTAAAACCAAGCTGTGCATAAGGAAAAACAATTCTAAATTTAGCACCCTAAATTACAGCAAGGAAAGCCCTCGCACTACCATTCACAAGTCTCTGTTCAAGCAATTTATTTTTGGCAAGCCAAATCACAGCTGTCAACATTGGTTTTTTTCCATCCCCAAATTACACAAATTATTCTGAAAAAACACAGACATCTTCAACTTGGGGAAAAGTTACAAATGCCGTGTGTCTTTATAAATGCTTATTTTAAAAAGTCACACGGAAGGGAGTTATAAAAAAAAAAAAAAAGCGAACAAACAAACCCTGAAAGATGCAGCAGAGCCCCCTTGCTCCCGAAATAAAACTCCTGGTGGCTGTAACAGCAGCGGCAGCGCTACTCCCGACAGAAGTTTTCAGCTGTCACTTCTAACAGCTGAGCGCTTCCTAGGAGAGAAGCGACAGGCCGAGAAGAGAGGTGGTTGTGGGATGTCTGAAGATTTAATATTTGAAATCTTACACTGGAAGGGAAACCCTTCCGCACTTCACCTGCATTTAGGGGATGTCCAGCAAGCGCAGCCCCCCTCCCCCCAACACATGCTCACACCACCCGCGCCCCGCCACACTCAAGTCCAACAGCTCGAGGAATCGACCACGCGCCCTTTCTCCTTACCCCTTCAAACAAATTGCTCGCCGCTGCGCTGACCCGGCTGCGCTGCCCGCTAAGGGCGCGACCTGCACCTGCGAGTCCCGCAGAGGCCTCACACCTAGGGGCATGTCCGCCCCGCCCGCTCCGCTGCCTCGGGCAGCGCGGCGCCTCAGCTCCTCCAGGAGCCCTCCGGGTCTCCGCGCTCCAGAACACGCCGGGCTTCCAGCGTCCGCGCCGCCGCCCGGGCCCTGTCACCTCGGCACCCTCCCTCCCCGAGACCCCGGGCCTCACCCCCTCCTCCAGCTCATCCTCAGAGCCTGCGTCCTCTGGCTGGTCCAGGTCTATGTCAAACACTCCTGCCATGTCCTCAGCTTCCCTGTCTCGGAAGTCCGGCGCTGGGTAAAAGCCGTCCCGCCTCCGTCGTCGCCTCATGGGCCCGGACCCGCCGCAGCCACGGCCGCTACTGCCGCCATCACCGGCTGCTTAGGCTTAGTGCGTCTGCGCCTAGGCCGTAGACTGGCTCCTCAAGTTTAGCGTAAGAGCATGCGTACAGGGTTCCTTGAAGGCAAACTGTGGGCAATGCACATGCGTAGAACTATAGCCAGGGTCCAGGTACTGGCAGAAACATGCGCAAAACACCAGCCGAAGCCAGTCCTGGAGACTGGAGCATGCGCCTTGTCAGCTAAAGCTTTTGGTAGACAGTGAGCATGCGTACCATATCTGAAGTTGATAAATTGAAATTGAACATGCGTAATTAACCTTTCTGAATAGGAAAAAAAATACACAACAAAACTGTTCGTTTGTGGAACATGCGCATTCGTTCTCAGATCTTTAGTGTTGAAAGTGAGCATGCGCATAGCGAGAGGGCGGGTCGTCTGAAGTTTGAAAGGGACAGAAGCGGCTGGTTCGGGGGCTGTCTGTGAGTGGGGTTAATGGTGAGCTCTTGGGGTTAAGGGAGAATTCATTCCTGGGGCCGATGGGGATAGTGAGAGTCTTGGCTTTGCCGTTTACTAGTTTGGTGGCCTTGTGAAAGTCGCATAACCTTCCAGAGCCTCAGTTTCCTTATCTGTATGATGAGGATAATACCTACTTTGCGGTAGGTACAAGTACATTTACATTTACAAGTACAATGTCTGGCTCACAACCCACTGCTCGTTTCCAGTGCTGCACAGACCGGATTTGAAGTCTTTATCAAACATTGTCTCTTTTCGTTGTTAAAAATAATGAAGACCTGTTTTAATATGTCATCTGGTTGTCTTTCTCCAAGCACCATTTTTCTTTCTGTTGTACCTGACCTAAACACAGTCTTTCTAGTAAGTCTTTTTAAAGTTACCAGCTAGAAAGGTGATTGGTGGAGAGAGTAAGTCATTATTTAGAAGAGAGACAATTAAAGTTAATTGAATGTATGACTGTTGAGCTCACTTCTGTGTGTCTGTGTGTGTGAAGTGTGGTACTACTAATTCCTTCAACCAGCATTCATTTTGTTTTGTTTTAAATGCTTAAATGTTTTGTTTGGGAAAATGTGAGTATAAATCAGATTTTGGAAACTACTGAGTTGTGTATGAATGGGTTTGGGTATGGTCAATCGCAAATCCCAAAACCATAGAACAAGAGAAGAACTTGAATAACTGGCTCTGTAGACAATATAGCTGTTTCATTAACATTATATACAAGGCATTCTAAAATTATTTTTATTGATGTATAATTAACATAGATGACATTTTATTTATTTTTATTAGTAATTTAGTGGTTCTCAAAGCCTATATTTTGTCTATTACAGGTTGTTCACTTTTTCGAGGAAATAGGCCTAGATTGTGGCTCAGCATGTCAATAGTGACAGTGCAGCTTGGTCAGTGTGGCAATCAGATTGGTTTTGAAGTGTTTGATACCTTATTCAGTGACTCACACAGCTCCCAGGGACTCTGCTCTAAGAGAGAGAATGAAGCATATCAAGCATCTTGCAAAGAAAGATTCTTCAGTGAGGAGGAAAATGGAGGTATGTGTGGTCTGCAGGCCTCTCCTTTACTCTGACTTAGCCTACCTCTTCAAAGCCAGGCCTTCCACGTGGTATTTGAACCCCATCCCTTTCCATTTCACTAGGGAATCACTTTGCCCTTGACCGTTTGTTTCTGTGTTAACAGTCTTTGCTTCTCCAGTGGCATCTTTCCCTCAGCACATGTGCATGCTCCCATCTCACCAATCTAAAACCAACCAGACAAAACTTATCTCTTGGCTGTAGCTTTCTTCTTCCTTCTTATCTCTTTGCCTTCTTATCTAAGATTCTCAAAGGAGAACCCTGCTTAACCAACTCTAATCCTGTTTCTGCCCCTCATCACCACTGAAGCTGCTCTGAGAAAAGTTTCCAATGACCTTCTAATTTACCGAATCCAGCTGCTGTTTTTCTTTTCTTTTCTACTTTTTTTGTTTTTGTTTTTGTTTTCCTTATGAGATGGGCAATATGATATGTTGTCCAACCTGGAGTGCAGTGGCTATTGGTGGGCCTCAGCTTCCTGAGTAGCTGGGACTATAGGTAAGTGCCACTGTGCCCAGCTTGTTTTTTTCCTCTTTTTTTTTTTTTTTTTTGAGACAGAGTCTCACTTTGCTGCCCAGGCAAGAGAGAGTGCCGCAGGGTCAGCCTAGCTCACAGCAACCTCAAACTCCTGTACTCAAGCGATCCTCCTGCCTCAGCCTCCCGAGTAGCTGGGACTACAGGCATGTGCCACCATGCCCGGCTAATTTTTTCTATATATATAGTTGGCCAATTTCTTTCTATTTATAGTAGAGACGGGGTCTCGCTCTCACTCAGGCTGGTTTCGAACTTCTGACCTTGAGCAATCCGCCCACCTCGACCTCCCAGAGAGCTGGGATTTTTTTTTTCCTCTTAATTCGCTTAATTTCTCAACTGGATTGGGTAACTGATAACATTAACTATAAAATTCCCTCCTTAGGCCGGGCGCTGTGGCTCACGCCTGTAATCCTAGCTCTTGGGAGGCCGAGGCGGGCGGATTGCTCAAGGTCAGGAGTTCAAAACCAGCCTGAGCAAGAGCGAGACCCTGTCTCTACTATAAATAGAAAGAAATCAATTGGTAAATCATTTTTTAAAATAAAAACTTAAAAAAAAAATTAAAAATAAAAATAAAATAAAATAAAATAAAATTCCCTCCTTGAAACTTCTCCTTAGTCTCTGTACTTCTCTTCCCCAGTGGTTGTATCTCAAGCTTTCCTATGTCCTCACTTGTATAGTTTTCTCTGGGCAATGTCAATCACTCTCATAATTAGGTTCATTTTTTTACACCAGTAACTCTCGAACTCCTCACCTCAAGCGGTCGTCCTGCCTTGGCCTCCCAGAGTGCTAGGATTATAGGCATGAGCCACCAAGCCTGGCCTACACGATGACTCTCAAACCTAGCCCAGCCTCTCTTCTAAGCTTTAGACAAATTATGGGACACTTCCACCTGCACCTACCATGTGAGCCTCAAACTCAACATCTTTATGCCCAAGACATTCATTATCTTTCCTTTAGAACTTACACTTTTACTGCACATATACCATCAAACATCACAGTCTGCTTATTTGACTTCCTGTAAATCTCTTGAAACAGTTTTCCCCTCTCCACCCTCACTGACATTGCCTTAGTTCTGGCTCTTGTCCTCTCTTATCTGGACTGTTTCAAGACACTCCTGCATTTCCCTGCCTACAGGCTTATGTCCATCACATCCGTCCCACACCACTCTATTAAAAAAAGACATCAGACTATTCTTCCCCTGCTTGAAAATTTTCAGTGGCTGATTATTGCCTAAAAGATAAAGTTTAAGCTTTTTAACATTGCCTGCAAGGATTTCCAAGATCTGAGCCCTGCCCAGTTTCCATCTCCATCCATGACTTCTACCCCCTCCTTCTCTTTCCTCAGCTGCAATAATTCTGAGCTAATTTGAGCTATATACGGTATTTTGTACCTCTGAATATGATGCACCTTTGGTGTGGGTTCCTTGTGGGTTGTATCATGTCATACAGTGTTAAATGTTGATGTGTTTTATCTCTCCCACTAGTCCTCCTGGGGCTGGTTTGATGTTGGTTTGATCTCTGTATTGCCAGTGCACATAGTACATGGCACATTGTAAGCACACAACAGATGCTTTTTTGTTTTTGTTTTTTCCAACAGATGTTTGTAGATCGGACCCAAGTGATCATTTTAGCCCACACTGATTCTTCCTGCTTAACAGAACGCTGGGCTTCATGAACTTCTGCATATACCCGCTGCTGCCCACCTGGATTTCCCAGCAGTCTAACAGATCTTTCTATCCCCAACCCCTGGGGTTTTTTTTCTAGACCTACAATTTGATGCTCTGAGTTGCCCAAATAAGATGTATGAAATTATTTTTTTCTTTTGAAAACTCTCTAGTTCCAATTGCCCGGGCTGTACTGGTTGACATGGAACCTAAAGTTATCAATCAAACACTGTCAAAGGCTGCCCAGTCTGGCCGATGGAAATATGGTCAGCATGCATACTTCTGTCAAAAACAAGGTTCTGGAAATAACTGGGCATATGGGTAAGAATAATTCCTCATGGTTTTCAGTTTAGTTACAGCTACATAGTAGATTAATAGACAGTGAAGTTACAACTGCATAGTTCATATACCAAGCACATAATCTTGAAATTGTTTTAAAATTTAGAATTAGACTTCATCTAGAAGAAATGCTCATTCTGTCTTCTTCACTGTCATGCTGCAAAGTAACTTCTTATCAATACAATATCCATATCTGGCAAGTGTTCCAGTTACAGGAAATAAAACAGGCAGTGTTTCTCAAACTGTGCTGTACATTAGAATTTCCTGGGGTTCTTTGGAAAGTCGTGATGCCTAGAGCTCACTTCCAGAGATTCTGATTTAATTGGTTTGGGGTAAAGCCCAGATGTTGAGAATTTTCAAAGCTCCCCAGGTGACTCTAATGTGCAGCAAAGTTTGAGAACCACTGCTTGAGGACCACTGTTACGAATATTGAATGTTATGTTGTACTGTAAACTTGTACAACTACCTGGTAATTGAAAGTTCCAGCTAAAGGGATGGTCCATAAAAAAGAGCTTTTGAGGGGAGGGGAGGGTTGAAGAGAAGTTGGTTAATGGATACAAAAGTATAGTTAGATAGAAGGAATAAGTTCTAGTATTCAATAGTACAGTAGGAAAATTATAGTTAATAATTTACTATATATTTCAAAATAGCTAGAAAAGAATTGTAATATTCTCAACATAAAGAAATGTTTAGGTGGCATATATCCTAATTATCCTGATGTGATCATTACACATTGTATACATGTATCAAAACATCACATGTACCCCCAAAATATGTACGACTATGATATATCAATAAAAAATACAAAAAATAATGAAGTGTATAATCAACCAAAAAAAAAAAACCCAGATAAATAAAAAATAACTTTCTGTGCCCTGTAAATTCAATCTCCTAGTCCTATTTATCATTTAAATATATTTAACTTGTATATTTAAAACTTTGTCAGTCAGGGTACCTGTATCTTTCATGAGAGTTAGTTCACTTACATAGTTTTGGAAAAAACCTTTCTATCTTGTATCTTTTTCTCTGCATTGTGTCTCTCTGGTTAAATTGAAAGGTGTTTGTATTTGTCTCTTTTGCTATTGCATAGTTACTCTGTTCATGGACCCAGGCATGAAGAATCTATAATGAACATAATCCAGAAAGAAGTGGAGAAATGTGACTCTCTGAGTGGTTTTTTTATTATAATGAGTATGGCTGGGGGCACGGGATCCGGGATAGGAGCCTTTGTTACACAGAATTTACAAGACCAGTACGCACACTCTTTGAAAATGAATCAGATCATATGGCCTTATGGAACTGGTGAGGTATGAACATATTAACTGAAAATGTGTTTTGGGGGTGGGGCTGAAAAAGAAAAGAAAAGAAAATGTTATGTTCTGTGTTCTTTGCAATTGAAATAAATGTGGGTAAAAGATTGATCTCACCCGGGTCTTCTTTGGGAAGAAGCTTCAGGAGTGATTATAACATTTGGTACTTTCCTGAGCAATTCATTTAACTTTGCTTAAACTTCTCCAAACAAATGAGATGTCCTTCTTTTTAAAAATTTTAAAGAAAATGATTTTGCTGCTTCTCTCAGGAACCCTTTCCTTAGAATGCCCCTCTGGCTACAGTCTGTAAAGCAGGGACCTTGACCTCATGTTGCAGTTTATGGTGCCATTGCCAACCTTCAGATAATTTTCATTTCTTTCCATTGGGAAAAACTGTCTATATAAGCCAATTCCTATTGATCAGCCTAGTTGGAGAAACAAAACAGAGGTGACCCAAGTCACTATAGGAAACGACATAGGAAGCAATAATAGTAATAGTCAATGTTTGTTGTGCTCTTACTATGTACAAGGCAGTGTTCTTAGTGCGTTACTTGCATTATATCCCTAATCCGTATAACTCTAGGAGGCCATTACAAATGAGGAAACTGAGGTGTAGAGAGATTAAATAACTTGCCCAAGGTAGCTAGAAAGTGACAGAGGCAGGATTTGAACCCAGGCAGGATGCCATTAGAATCTACCACTGTTCTCTCTTCTTTTTCTTATTTCTGACCTTTTTCTCTGCAGGTTATTGTTCAGAACTACAACTCCATTTTGACGCTTTCTCACTTGTACCGATCTTCAGATGCGCTGCTTGTTCATGAGAATGATGCTGTCCATAAGATATGTGCGAAACTGATGAATATCAAGCAGATCTCCTTTAGCGATATCAATCAAGTCCTCGCACATCAGCTGGGAAGTGTGTTCCAGCCTGTTTACTCTGCGGAAGGCTTATTTCACTACAGAAGAAATCCACTAGGTATTTTTCTCCCTGCATGTTGTTTGTAGGAAAGCCTTATGTTCTGAAAGCCTCAAAAATTATTCTTCACTGTCTTCCTTCCCACTGCCTGATGATACCCTTAGTCTCCCTCATCTGAAAAACCTTCCTTTGGACCTGCTTAGCTCTCTGAACTGTCTTACTGAAAAGTTTTGAGAACTTGCTAAATTTCTCAAAAGAGTGGTAGATACCCACTGCCTCTATCCTTTAAGATTCTTTCTCTTATTTTTTTTTTTGTTCTTTTTATTTTTTATTTTTTTTGAGACAGAGTCTCACTTTGTTGCCCAGGCTAGAGTGAGTGCCGTGGCAGCAGCCTACCTCACAGCAACCTCAAACTCCTGGGCTCAAGCAATCCTGCTGCCTCAGCCTCCCGGTAGCTGGGACTACAGGCATGTGCCACCATGCCCGGCTAATTTTTTCTATATGTATTAGTTGGCCAATTAATTTCTTTCTATTTATAGTAGAGATGGGGTCTCGCTCTTGCTCAGGCTGGTTTCCAACTCCTGACCTCGAGCAATCCACCCGCCTCGGCCTCCCAGAGAGCTAGGATTACAGGCGTGAGCCACCTCGCCCGGCCTCTCTTATTTTTTTATAGCAACTTTATTGAGATACAATTCCCCCATTTAAAGTACACAATGGGGTGGGCCATATGGCTCCCGCCTGTAATCCTAGCACTCTGAGAGGCCGAGGCAGGCGGATTGCTCAAGGTCAGGAGTTTGAAATCAGCCTGAGCAGGAACGAGGCCCCGTCTCTACTATAAATAGAAAGAAATTAATTGGCCAACTAATATATATAGAAAAACTTAGCCAGGTATGGTGGCGCATCCCTGTAGTCCCAGCTACTCGGGAGGCTGAGGCAGAAGGATCGCTTGAGCCCAGGAGTTTGAGGTTGCTGTGAGCTAGGTTGACACCACGGCACTCATTCTAGCCCAGGCAACAAAGCGAGACTCTGTCTCTAAATAAATAAATAAATAAATAAATAAATAAATAAATAAATAAATAAATAAATAAATAATAAATAAATAAATAAATAAATAAATAACACAATGCAGGCTGAGGACAGTGGCACATGCCTATAATCCTAGCACTCCTGGAGGATGAGGCAGGAGGATCGCTTGGACTCAGGAGTTCAAGACCAGCCTAAGAAAGAGCGAGAACCCCATCTCTACTAAAAATAGAAAAATTTGCCAGTGCGCATGTGTAGTGCCAGCTACTCAGAAGGCTGGAGCAGGAGGATGGCTTAAGCCCAGAAGTTTGAGGTTGCAGTGAGCTATGAGGATGCCACTACACTTTGCAAAAGAGCAAGACTCTGTCTCAAAAATAAATAAATAAATAAAGTGTACAAGTCAGTGTTTTTTAGCATGTTCACAAAGTCATACAACCATCATATTCATCACTCCATAAAGAAACCCTGTACCTATTAGCAGCTACTTCTCATTTTCCCCCAATTTCCCCAGTCCTAGATTACCACCAATCTTTCTGTCTCTATAGATTTGCCTATTCTGGACATTTCATGTAAATGGAATCATATGATATCTGGCCTTTTGTGATTGGCTTCTTTCACTTAGCACTATGTTTTTAAGGCTCACCCAGGTTGCAGCATGTATTCATTCCTTCGTATGGCCAAATAATATTCAATTGTGTGGATATATCACATTTTGTTTATCCATTTACCAGTTAATGGACATTTAAGCCTTTATGAACAATGCTGCTGTTAACATTAGTGTTCAAATTTTTGTAGGGACCTATGTTTTCATTTTCTAGGAGTGGAATTGCTGGATCATGTGGTAATGCTATGTTTAATCATTTCAGAGCTGCCAGACTCTAGTCTCCAAATCCAGTACTTCTCTTAGCTTGAATATCTGGCTGCATTTCATGTTTGACAGCTCTCTCCTTGAACTTCCTTCCTCAGCCTGTCAGCTTGAGGACTTCACTGTCCTCCTTCTCCCTCCCTAATTGCTCTGTCTTGTATTTCCTAACCATTTTTACTTTCTTCAGCCCCCAGGGGCTGCATGCATTACCCATCATTCTTTCTTCAGCTCTTATTCTTCAAGTGGCACTCTATCAGTTTAAATCATCTATCTACAAAGGAGATCTTAACCTTTACCCCTATTCCTAATTTCTTTCCCAAAAGTTGCATCTTCAGCCTGAGAAAGCTGATTAAGAAAACAAAACAAAACAAAACAAAAAAGCTAGCCTATTCTAGTTTTCTCAGTTGCCTTCTTCTTCAAATTTAGGATGTTCTGAATATATTCATTACTTTTTTCCTGCCTTTTCTCCCCCTCCCCCAATCTAAACCAGTTACTCCTCTTCCTCAATTCCCTGTTCCTATTACCCATGTTTCTCCCCCATCCACTTATCTTATCTGTATGCTTAGACCTGTTGGTGCCATCTCTGCCATCTGTCTGCATTCTTTTCCCACTGCCCTATCTCTCTGACATAGGTTCAGGGTCTAAGTATCTCTCAGTTAATCTCGTCATACTGTCCCAGAATACAAAGCAAACCAAAGCAAATTAGCTTGTCTGTTCTCTCTCTTTTTTTTTTTTCTGCATAAAAACAGAAGCTTAGGCCTGGTGGAGCTCACGCCTACGCCTGTAATCCTAGCACTCTAGGAGGCCAACGGCAGGCAGGTGGATTACTCAAGGTCAGGAGTTCGAAACCAGCCTGATCAAGAGCGAGACCCTGTCTCTACTATAAATAGAAAGAAATTAAGTGGCCAACAAATACATATATAGAAAAAATTAGCCAGGCATGGTGGCGCATGCCTGTAGTCCCAGCTACTCGGGAGGCTGAGGCAGCAGGATTGCTTGAGCCCAGGAGTTTGAGGTTGCTGTGAGCTAGGCTGACGCCACAGCACTCACTCTAGCCTGAGCAACAAAGTGAGACTCTGTCTCAAAAAAAAAAAAAAAAAAACAGAAGCTTACATCTACACGGATATTCCTTTCTTAAGATGGTCTTTTTTTTTTTTTTTTTTTGAGACAGGGTCTCACTCTGTTGCCTGGGCTAGAGTAGAGTGGCATGATCATTGTGATCATAGCTCACTGCAATCTCAAACTCCTATGCTCAAGCAATCCTCCTGCCTCAGCTATCCAAGTAGCTGCGACTACAGGCTCACATTACCATGCTCAGCTAAATTTTTAATTTTTTGTAAAGACAAGAGCTCACTATGTTGCCCAGGCTGGTCTAGAACTCTAGGCCTCAAGTGATCCTCCTGTCTTGGCCTCCCAAACTGCTGGGATTATAGGTATGAGCCACCACTCCTCACCCTTAAGGTGGTCTTAATCCTACTTTCCTTCCTGTTGCCTGCCTCTTCCCCCTCCAGTGCATCTCACACACTGGCTCCAAATGAGCCTCCCAAAACACAGCCCTAATCTTTAGGCTCGATTATGCTTAATGTACAGTTTATGCATTACCTGCCATATTTGTCAGAATTTTTTTAGCCTGGCATTCCCTGCCTTCATTATGCCCTGAACTCTAACTTTCTAGCTTTATTTCCTGCTGCCTTCTCTGCCTGGATCCCCATCTATATTTTTCATCCTCCTATGTTTACTATCTTTCTTCAATGTGGTACTTTCCTGCCCTAGTCCCTTTGCTTAGTATTCCCTTTCCTTATAAATTGCTTACTTCCTTTTGTATATATAAATCAAGTGATCCTCCCACCTCAGCCTCCCGAAGTGCTAGGATTATAGGCAGGAGCCATCACTCCTGGCCTCTCCTTAATTCTATTTCATTGTAAATACAAGTTTCTAATGATAATTGTAAATTCTATTATAATGAAATTTCAATTCAATTACAATGAAATTCTATTTCATTGTAAATACAAGTTTCTAATGATATTCCTCTCTTAAGGAATTACTAATCCTGTTTTCTTTCCAAGTAGGGTTTCATGTTAACAGGTTTGATTATCATTGAACCAGATAAAATAAATGAAAGATCCAAGGAAAATTCCTAAAGGAATATTTAGTGAACACAGAATGACAAGAAAAGCATGTCAGCTCTCATGTTTACTTTTTTTTCCTGAGGTTTAGCTAAATATTTCATTCACATTTCCAATTACTCAGCTTCTAAATTCTTCTTTCCTTTTTGGCAAAGTATCTTTTCTCACCCATGCTAAAATGGGAGCTAAAATGAAGCAAAGATATGGTCTGTAATAGACATTGTCTCTGAAATTTTATTTATATTTTAAAGTTTAAGCAATTCTGCCTTTAGAGGAGAAAAAACATTTGGCCCAGAAAAGCTTTAAATCATGGTTTTGTATATAGAACAATAGCAACAGCGTGGAATAAAAATATTTAGTTCAGATCTTTTTTTTTCTTTATAGGAGACTTAATGGAGAATTTAGTTCCTCATCCTGAATTCAAGATGTTGAGTCTTCGTAACATTCCTCAAATGTCTGAGAATTCACTGGCATACAGCACGTTTACTTGGGCTGGCCTCCTCAAGCATTTAAGACAGATGCTCATTTCTAATGCAAAGATGGAAGAAGGTAAAGGGTATTTTTAAAATATGCAGCCCACAAGCAGGGAAAAATGCCTGTCCTGGAGCTCTCAATATAAACTGGCTTGGACCAGTTGAAATAATGGTCCCTTCTTCTGGTCTGGGAGGCTCCTGCAGAAATTCAGCAGGACATCCCAGGAGGGCTTCTTAATCACTTCACAGTTTTATTACCAAAAAGTATTTCAGATGAATGCCATATTTTTAAAATTATTTTAATCAAAGTAATATAAAAACATAGGTTTACAGATCAAGTAGGCAAAACTCACTTAAGGGTATATTTGAATCCACACATTGCACAGTATGTAAATTATATCTCAGTTTTAAAAAAAAGAAAAGTCAAAATACTGTGCAGTATGAATTTATAACAAGGAAAACAGCAATGTCCTGTCTACACTTCCCCATTGCCCAGTGGAAAATACTTTCAACATTTTTAGCTGTTTCTCCTGGAATTTGCCTCCATATTTCTAAATTTCTTGCTGATGTTGTTGTTTGATTTTCCACTTTTAGATATTATCCATTGCATTCCCAGTGTGAACATTGAGGATTAAATAGTTTTATACCCCCTCTACACACACAATCACAAACACACACATGTATTCTCCCTCACATTAATCTCTCTCCTTTCTCCCAATGTAGTTGTAACATACTTTGGGGTTAGATCAATTTTCAGTGTTTGTATGACTTTTGCTATGTAAATATTATTCACAGGAGAGCTATGTACTGTGTACGCAGATTGCTTTTTATTTCATGTACAACTATTTTTTTCCTCCTAGAGTTAACAATTATATTTATTTGATCAATATTCTCTACACTTCTCACTAATTTTTTTGTTTTCTTGAGACAGAGTCTTGCTCTGTCACCCTGGCTAGAGTGCAGTGGCATCATCATAGCACACTGCAACCCCAAACTCCTGGGCTCAAGCAATCCTCCTGCCTCAGCCTCCCAAGGAATTGGGACTACAGGCATGCGCCACCACGCCTGGCTAATTTTTCCTATTTTTTTGTAGAAATGGGGTCTCGCTCTTGCTCAGGCTGGTCTTGAACTCGTGACCTCACGTGATCTTCCTGCCTCAGCCTCCCAGAGTGCTAGGATTATAGGCATGAACCACCGTGCCAGACCCTATCACTAATTTATCCTGAAACTTCTCTGTAAAAAATAATTCCTCTCAGCATGTTCAAACCCACCAGGTTTTTTGTTATCTGCTTGGATATATCCTTCTAGAAGTCCTTCCTACTCCTGTTCCAGTCTGGCTGATTGCTTTTCAGGCTTGAGGAGCCACCTATACTGGCACTTCTGTTTGCCTCATCCTGTAGAATATCCCGTTTCTTAGATTTCAAATCTTCCACTTTCTTGGTTTCTTCCCTCATATTGCTGTACCAAACATCTTCCAGGAGCTTCCTAAGAAAGAATACAGGGAAGGTAAAATTTTTGAAGCTATGAATGTCATTATTCTGCCTTTTTATTTGAATGATAGTTTGGCCAGGAATAGGATTCTAGGTTGGGAATCATTTTGAAAGCAATGCTTTATTATATTCCAGCTTGCAGTGCTGCTATTGAGAAATCCCATGTCATTCTGGTTTCTTTTTTTTTCTTTTCCTTTTTTTGAGACGAGGTCTTTCTCTGTCTTTCTGGCTAGAGTGCAATGGCATCATCATAGCTCACTGCCACCTCAGACTTTTGGGCTAAGGTGATCCAGCCTCTGGAGTAGCTGGTGGGACTACAGGCGTGAGCCATCATGGATGGCCATCATTCTGATTTCTATCTATTTTGTTCTCTCTTGAAGCTTTTAGGACTTTCTCTTTATCTCAAGCATTCTGAAAGTCCTTGATGTAGGTCTTTTGTTTATCTTGGTAGAATATAAGTTTTATGAGGCCAGAGATTTTTATCTGTTTTGTTTACTGTTGTATCTTTGGAGCCTGGAACAGTGGCCCAACACATAGTAAATGCTCAACAATTACTTCTTTTTTTTTTTTTTTGAGACAGAGTCTCACTTTGTTGCCCAGGCTAGAGTGAGTGCCATGGCGTCAGCCTAGCTCACAGAAACCTCAAACTCCTGGGCTCAAGCGATCCTCCTGCCTCAGCTTCCGAGTAGCTGGGACTACAGGCACGCGCCACCATGCCCGGCTAATTTTTTGTATATATATTAGTTGGCCAATTAATTTCTTTCTATTTATAGTAGAGATGGGGTCTCGCTTTTGCTCAGGCTGGTTTTGAACTCCTGACCTCGAGTGATCCGCCCGCGTTGGCTAGAGAGCTAGCATTACAGGCATGAGCCACCGCGCCCGGCCTCAACAATTACTTCTTAAGTGAGTTACTCTGGAAACTGAATGGATCCTCATGGACATTGCAGTCTCTTGTGGATTTCATAGTTAGGTGATGTGCCTGGCCATTTTATTGGTGGACTCCCAAATATTAATATCATATTTGGCATACCTTACCTCTTGATTAGTTACTTCCCCCACTCTGGTCTCTTTCCTGAAGACATGATAAGCCTGGCTGCCATTCTTTCAGAGCTGGACAGGGAAGACATGGATTGTTTCCTTTCCCTGTGAAAGCTTCCACTTGGTGACCTGGTTTTCCATAAGGTTTCCTGCAGGGCTGTCTCTGAAGCTAGAGCCTCACAGAGTTAGCCTTTCCAGAGCAGAAACTTCCTTCCAGGATGGAGAGGGGCATTCTCCCTGTTGTGGGGAGTGGGAAAAGGGTCTGGGCTCTCACTGCTTCTCATACAGCTTTTTAACTAATCTTCCTGTTTTTTTCTGCTTTTATTTATTTTTTTATTTATGTATGTATATATGTCTGACTTGCTCTGTCACCCAGGCTGAAGCCCAGTGGCATGATCATAGCTCACTGCAGCCTCGAACTCCTGGCTGCTCAAGCAATCCTCCCATATCCTCCTGAGTAGCTGGAACTACAAGTCTGAACTGCCACAGCTAGCTAATTAAAAAAATTTTTTTAAGTGATGGAGTCTCACTATGTTGCCCAAGCTGATTTCAAACTCATGGCCTCAAGTGATTCTCCCACCTCAGCCTCCTGAGTAGCTGGGATTATAAGTGTGAGCCACTGCGCCCAACTTGTTTCTGCTTTTAGAAGTGCCTGGGTATTGAATTTATTTGCTTTTAAACAGTTACTTAACTTGTCTGTTGTCCAACTATACAGCTTTTCTTTGCCCGTATCTTACCAAGAAGATCATTCTGGGGTATCCATTCATAGAGATGAGTATTGTTTCCTAATGTGGCTGGTTTCTTCCCTCCATATCGCCGTAAAACCTATGGAAGATGACGCTTTAATTTTGCAAGTGAAATAAATGATTACAAAAAAAAAGGTATAACTTTTTGCTTGGCTGGGATGATAACTCTCTTTTTTAACACATTGACTGCCACACTAGAAAATTTTTTTTTCCTTGGGGCCATGATGTTTTATTACCCAAATATAATAAAAACTTCAAAAACAAAATGATCCTAATTAAAAAAAAAAAAAGTGCCTGGCCTACTTCAAGGACCTCAACTGTGGCAGATGTTTTAGCTTTATCTGGTTGCTCAATCAGTAGCCAGTGGTTCATTTGCTTTCTAGCTTCTAAAACTTTGTTGAACTTTATCACTTGTTCTCCTTTTTTTCTTATTTATGCCTTTTAAGAAATTCCTTTATTGTCTTAGGGGGATTTGGAGAGAGAGTGGCAGTAAACGGTATGTTCAGTCTGTCATGTTTAATTGGAAATCACTACTCTATTATTTTAGTAGCATATATTATACCGCAAGTTAAAATAACTTAGGTTTCGATAGTGCAAAAGTAGATTTTCTCAATATTTACTTGTAATATTTTATTGATTGTAGATTATAATGCCAGAGGCTTAGAGATAAGCAGAAAGTTCACATCTTAAAGTAGTGCCTCCCAAATTTTTTGGCCACAGTACCTGTTTTTCTAGAAATACCTGTTAATATCTTAAGGAACACAGTGTTCCTTAGGGTAGTGTGAGACACGCTGCTCCAAGCTCTCTTAGGTCAATAAACCACAGTTTGCTTAGTTATTTTCTCATGTAGGACTTCAGGGAATCAGTATTTTTTCACAGTTATGGAGTCTGAATTTATAAATGTTTTCATGTATATATGAATAAATATATTTATGCCATAAACTAGATTAAAGGATTTTATACCTGTTCATGTTATCAGGCTGTTCTATATAAAGATAGACCCCATTTCTGTCACCATCAGCAATGTAACATGTTCCAGCAACAGGGGGAATGAGTGATCCAAGAAGGAGCAAGGCAGAAGTTAATCTTTTATCATCTAGCTTTGGAAATCACACGCTGCCATTTCTGTAATATCCTTTTGGTTATTAAGGTCAGCCCTATCTTATGTGGGAGCATGTTGCCCAAGGGCCTGGAAGGGGTCATCTTGGAAGCTGACTACCTGCCCTCTGCCATCTGTCCCTAATGAATCTTGTCCTTCCACATGCAGAATATACTCATCCCCTCCCAAGGCCCCAAAGTTACATCCTGTAGCCAGTATCTTCTCATCTAAAAGTGGTCTAGATTTATAGTCCTCAATTGAGATTTCTTAACTATAGCCCTGTGAGTACAGTTCCTTGCCTCCTATACAGACTCTGGTAGAACAGGCCTGGGATAAAGAAGGGAGAAAATGAGAGGCACACACGAGTGATTAGTTCATAACAATGTAGCAGAACATACATGCTGACAGTTTCTTGATAAAAATGTAAGGCATGAGAATAATGTTCTATGACTTTTGGCTTGGCCTTCTGAGACCAGCTAAAAAATAATTGTACTTCTCTATTTATTATTACATTTATTTAAAACATTTTAAATGTTTTATTTCACAAATTGATTTATTTTTGCTAGTTTGGGTTACTTTATGTATGTGAAAACTAGAGAGGGTTAGAGGAGTTTTCATAGTTTTCACTTGATCTCTCTGGTTTCAGTATAGTACCCTGCCCTTAATTCTGCCTGGTATTTCCCTCACCAGATACCCTTAATCATATCCTCTCTAGAAAATAAGTTCCATTTTCTGCTAGAGTATGGGAGTCACCAGTCACCGTGGTTTATAGACAAGTTTAGCAACATTCCTTAAGCAGGAGTCAAAGGTAGATGTGCTCTACATGATTGCAAAGCCAGCTTAAGAGCCAGTGGCTTTTAGCTTTTTTAAGGATTCCTTTAAGGAATGCTGCATCATCAATGTTCTGTGGGCACAGAGAACAATAATGTATGAAAAAATACTGGTACCATTAATGTAGAGTTGAAAGTGATTGCCACTGAATGATAAAACATTTTAGGAAAACCTTAACCAATTAATTTTGTTAAATTTTTCCTTTTATTTTATTTATTTTTTGAGACAGAGTCTTGCTTTGTTGCCTGGGCTAGAGTGAGTGCCTTGGCGTCAGCCTCACTCACAGCAACCTCAAACTCCTGGGCTCAAGCAATCCTCCTGCCTCAGCCTCCCGAGTAGCTGGGACTACAGGCACGCGCCACCATGCCCAGCTAATTTTTTCTATATATTTTAAGTTGGCCAATTAATTTCTTCCATTTATTTATAGTACAGACGGGGTCTTGCTCTTGCTAAGGCTGGTTTCGAACTCCTGACCTTGAGCAATCCTCCTGCCTCGGCCTCCCAGAGTGCTAGAAATTTTTCCTTTTACATATGCTCAGGAATGATATATGATTTTATTTTATTTTATTTTATTTATTTATTTTTTGAGACAGAGTCTGGCTTTGTTGCCCAGGCTAGAGTGAGTGCTGTGGTGTCAGCCTAGCTTACAGCAACCTCAAACTCCTGGGCTCAGGCAATCCTCCTGCCTCAGCCTCCTGAGTAGCTGGGACTACAGGCATGTGCCACCATGCCCAGCTAATTTTTTCTATATATATATTAGTTGGCCAATTAATATTTTAACCGCACTCACTGCCATGCCCACAGCTAGATGTGGCACAGAACTTAGTCCAGTA